GTGGGAGGGCAGCTCCGCACTGCGGGCGGCCGCGCTGTGCCGCTCTGCAGCCCCTTGCGCTGGCCTGCTGCTCTTACTCCGCACTGCCAGGAAGAATGTATCTGCTGCTTTATGGCCTTCTCAGTTGGCTGCTGCCTACCTTTGCCTTCCCGAGCTCTTGGGAAGCCTGCTCCCCGAACGCGTGCAGTGACCCGAAACGCGGAGCTACCAGGCGGCAGCAGGCGGTCTGAGGGCGTTAGGGGAGTTCTGCTGTGGTGTCTTCAGGTGCCAACTTGTGTGTAACCGCATTTGAAATATTAAAGGGTATAGTGGCGGGTGTGTGAAATGGTACAACGCGCAGTAAAATTACAGATCTACAGGGCCAGCAAATGGCTAACGAGCAGGTGAAGTCACTCGAGGGTGTCACGGAGGAAGGGCCGGTTCCTCTGCTGGGTGTTCCGGTCCCTTTCGTATAGGCTTGGGCCGCTGGAGGGGGGGATTGAGTCGCCTGGCAGGTTGAGCCGAAGGTTAACGCTTTGTCTGTGGGGCTGGGCTCCGTGTGGGTCGATAACCAGTGAACAGAGGGTCGGTGGGTTGTTAGAGCAGGAGGCTTGGGGTATCGCGGAGCTAGCAAAAGAATGGGGGGGAAGATGGCATGGCTTCAGATGGCTACACTGTGTTAGATCAGCTTAAAAAAGCTGTAAACCGCAGTGAAGTGGGTATTTGTGTATGACTTAAAACAACAATATCCTTACAGGTATGAGAAGCTGTTGGCTACATGTATGTGTGCTTATACAAGGGAGAACTTGCTGCTAGTGGGTGGGGGTTAAAACATTCAGAATTCATATCTACAAGTTTCTGAACAATCTGATGCAACTCTGGAGTTGGCTTTGCTTTGAGCAGGAGCTGGACTGAAAGAGCTGTAAAAATCCCTTCTGACCTAAATTATGCTATGAATATCTTGAGATAAGTGCCTGCAGCTTAAGTGTTAGAACGTTAATATGTTTGCATGTGGTTCATAGGGAAATCTATGCTGAAGTTTGCTGAAGATTGTTCTTGCACCTGCTTGGTGGAGTGGTGGAGGGCTTGTTACCTGATTAACATAGAATTTTCTCTAATTTCTTGAATTTCTTTAAATTTCTTGAATTCTCATTGATTGTTAGGGCAAACTGAAACATGACTGATACAGATGAATCCCAGGCTTCTGGCTCTGATTACCCTGATGCCCAAGAGCTGATATGCAGTCGGCAGAAAGAGCCACATAAGGTACACGCCTGTGAAACTAATACACGAATGGAGTGTTCACAGAAGAATGCTGCTTCTGAGGAGTCTTCAGATGAGCTTAACAGTGTACGTAAATCATCAGCTGCTTCAGCTGAGATTGTACTGGACAGCAGTGATTCAGAAATGTGAGTTTTTACCCATAGCTTAGAATTTTTCATGTGAAGAACTTGTGTCATAGCATAAACGTATACATTCTTCTGAAAATCATTATTGTTTTCTTCTTTAGTGACCTCTCTGCTGCTAGTGGCAGTAATTATCATTCCAAGTGCTCCACTGCGCCTTCAAAGCAAAATAGGAGATCACAGCCTTCAAGGCAGCAAGCTGAATCTGTTGCAGCAGTGTCTGACAATGAAAGCTCTTCTGATTCTTCTCTGTCCCCTCAAAGTCCAGTGAAGTCATCTGAAACTTCCAAAAAGCAGAAGTCAAAACTCAATTTGAAAGCCATTTTTGCCTATCACTTCAGGGGAAGGAAATTTAGGGCTGCTGCACACCGAAAATACAGTGGTGGCTCAGGGAAGAAGAAGAAAAAGTATGAAAGCACACAGATGCCTATAGGGAGGCCACCACTGACAGCCTCACCTCAAGAGCAAAAGAGAAGGCTTCTAGACAGAGGTGTTCAATTCCCTTTTGTTGAAAAACATTATGGGAGGAAACATATTCCCTTAAAGATGGTTCTTGGCTACGAGGTGAGTCCTCAGTTTTGTGGGATAAATGTATTTTTTTTTATTTAGTCGAAAAGTAGTGAATTTAAATTGGTTATGTTGTGCTTCTACCTGATGGGCTACAATGAAACTTTTTACTTCTGTTAAACAGGACACATGTTGTCTGTTTAATACCCTGAAGACAAGCACAGCAAAAATTCAGGTCTTAATAATACAATTCAGTTCATAACATAAATGCTTTACAGTGTTACAAGATCTCACCTGATGCATTTTTCTTCAGCAAGCAGCTGTAAAGGGATATTTCCAGTACATTGAAGTGCTTAAGTATGAAGAACATCTTAAAAAAGCTTTGAAAGCCCTTGAGGCTAGTGAAGACTTGGAACGAGAATGTCTGACAGTACGGAAACACAAATATTTAGATGATGAAGGCCCCATTTCCCCTATTCAGGACACGAAGTACGTTCTTCTTTATATTTCTAGGTGCTATAAAACTTGCTTTTTTATTCTTGGCTAAAATACAAGTTTGTGTGTATACAGGTAGATGCATGACACCCCACCACCCCAGCTCTTGGTCACCCCCAGCCTGTTTGCTGGTGTGGGGAGACATCATCAGTGGTCTAGTCGTAAATCCAAAACGCAGCACTGTACAGGCTGCTGTGGAAAAGGCTGACTGCATCCCAGCCAGCCCAGTATGCTCTGCTGCTTCTATAGCCAAGGAATTCAGGAGGTGGTGCAGTTGCTTGTAGCAGTGTGCAATTTTGTCACAGTTGCAGGGAATCAAGTTCAGTTCCTGTGCAGTCCTTTTAGCTTATATCAGCATTGTGTGAAAACATTGCTTATGAAAGCATTGTTTATTTTGGGAACAAAACAGCCAATTGGGATTCTGTGCTTGTAAATGTGACTTGGAATTTCTCATAGAATGAGCTATTTTTAATCTGAAGACTGATCGTTGATTCAGATGGTGACTTGTACTGCCTCATTAAAATGACATGGTAGAAATGTTTTAAAAAAAAAAAAAGGTGTTTCCTGAAATCAGTTGCTCTGTAGTTATCCCAGATAAAGAAGTGGAGTGTTTTACGGCAAAGACTAAAGGATATTTTTTATTTCCTTTTTACTTTAAGCACTGAAGTATCATCTTAAGTCTTTCTTTATGGTCAAACAGTTGACTTACATGTGATAAAGGAATCGGGGAAATCAGCAAGAATACTTAATGTTGTACAAATACTCAGCAACTTAAAACTAGAGAGCCTAGAAGACAGTGTAAATATACAAAGCTGTCTTTCAGCTACTGTTCACTTACACTGCTAATTTATGTGAGTTAAAGTATTAGGGTGAGCCTATAAAATAAGTAACAATAGTTAATTTGCTCTCTTGCAAAAGAGCAGAAGGAACAAATTTCTGCAGAATAAACAATGCCAGCTCATCCAGGCACTCAGTTCTTTATATGAAATAAGTACTAGAAGAGTTTCTTGGTTTTGGAACTGGTGCTCCCAGTGAGTGCTGCTTGTTGAAACTGTAGTACTAAAATGGCATCATCTCTTTATCTTGAGAGAACTCTGTCTGGGCAGTTCTTTCTATCTTGAGAGAAAAACCTGTGGACAATAGTGGAATTGAATTTTGTACTTGTGTTTCATGGCGGTATGGAGATAATATTTCTCAGCTGTAGTATCAGGAAGACAGATGTGTACTCTTGTTAGCTGAGGCCTACCCTTTTACTTTCTTGATTATATTTTCTAACTTGCTGACTTTGTAAAAGCCTGTTTGTCAGTGTAACTAAATATCTCAGTACTGCTGTTGATGTCTACTACTAAATCTTTGTCCTGTTGCTAAGCACTGCTTCCATCCTGCCAGTGTTGCTAGTTAGGATCTAATTCTGCTGTCAGAAACTACAGTTGAGGAGAACAACCTCATGTAGAAGTAGTTCTGTCTTAACTACGAGCTGTAGTACTTCCATACACATTAAGAGAAACCACTGCTTGTGGTTGAAAAACGGTTTACCCCTTTTAGGCTACTGTAAAAGAGCTTGATTTGACTTCTTATATTTCAGTGATGATGATGACAGCTTGAATTCTGATAATGAAGAAGACCTTGATGCCAGAGTAGTGGTGAGTTAAGACTTCTTAACTTTAGAAGAGAAAGGTTAGAGTTTCTGAGGTTGAAGAATTAGCAGGTAACATTTTGAGTACTTAACTCTGGATCTAAGCTCAAGAATTAACTGTGTGATACCTGTGAATCCTGATCTGTAATGCAGAAGGAAGTGGTTTTGAGAGTCCACACTCTTCTCCTATTTGAAAAAATGCTGGAATGCATAGGAATTCTGGAGTTCTCTGGAGAGCTCTTGAAGTTTGCAAATTTACTATCAAAATTTTACCTTTAAAGTATCTCAGAACTAGTGTTGTGACTACTTGTCTTCCATTTTCGTAGGAGAACAGCTCTTTCATTCTAAGCAGCAAAATTCCCAGTAAGAAAAAATCAAAGCGTGCAAAATCAACTGAAGTGATCGAAATAGAGGAGGAAGATGACTGTGCTGCTTAGAACTCTGGGCTACTGCAAGGTTCACCTCGGTGAACAGAAGACCAGCAAAAGAGGTGACTGTGGTCATTCTTCAGATACCTTTTTCATGGCCTGTATGGTTTAAAACATCGGTCTGAAGTCAGTGTCAAGCTATCAACCAAGCGACCTAGTCAGATTTGGTTTGAGCTGAGTCTGTTGGACTTGTGTCCAAGACAGTTACAAAGCAACTATAATCTGTCTTTTTTGCTAAGCTTTTAAGCGTCTTCTGTGCTGTCCTCTGTCAGGTGTATAATATCCTTGATTCAGTGGCTGATAATCTTGGTGAAATGCTGGTTTCTGCTACTTGACTTCTGTTAACCAATGGATCATAGACCATGTTATTAAAAATAGGAAAGCAAGTTCCAAACGTAACACAGCAGCAGCACAGTGCAGGAAAGTGTGTGCATTGGCATCCATACCTACACATGCTCATGTTACAAAGGGCAGTTCGGACTCCCTTCTGTTTCATAGCTGACTCTTGTGAGTGGTACTTGAGGAATTGTTTTTCTGTATCGTAAGGAAATGCAGGTTATGCTTTGAAATACTGTGAGAGCTGAGTAAGGGCTGAAGACAGTTGAAATGTAAATCAAGTCTTTGTGCCAACAGTAAAAATGCAAAGTGGTTAGCTTGGACAAAAGTCTATTGGAAAACATGGTTAATCCATTTGAATGTTGGTAAAATAAATTTGTACAATTGAAGTTTGTCTATTCCACGTAGAGTAACTTTTCAGAAGACACTCCGCTCCTGAATCCAATACAATAATCTGAAGTTCTAAGTTACCTTAAAAATAACTGTAGCAGTGTAGTGGATCTTAGATAAAAAGATTCTTTTTCCCCTCTTGCCCTCCTCTGTCCAGAGTGGGGTTTGATGTTAATGTGACTACGCAGAAGATGAAGGCTCTTGATAATGACAGTGCTTGGCAAGCATTGCCCCAGTTGCAAATACCTTTCTCAAATGTGTTTTAGACAATTGGAAACATGACTGGTGAATGTTTATAAGTGGTCTGAATGTGGCTGACTCCTAGATGACAAGGCTGTCTTAGTAGCAGTAGAAATAAAAAAAACTGTTTTAGAAATTTACTTGTGAATCAACAAGCTGTACATAACCAAAGGGTGATCTGTGTCACTCAGATACTCCAATAGCCAAATCTCCATCAGCAGCAAACTGTTCAGCTGGTAAAACTAGTCTGTGCTGAACAGGAATGTTGTCAGAAAAAGACAAGATCTACTGGTTTTATTTCCTTCAAAGTGTAATTGACAGTCTGAGGAGACTTGCAGTAGGTGCTCGGTATAATCAGACCAGCTCAAGTTGCATTCCTTAAATGCTTGAGTTAAAATCCCAAGTCTTTGTAAAGGAAGTTCGGGGTTTCCCAATTGCAACTTGATAGCTCGAGGGAGTAAAGGTAACTCCTCAGTAGCTGACGATCACATTTAATATTGGTCCAAAATTAATGGCTAAATGTAACTCTTGGGCACCTACCTGAGAAATACTCTGTATGGCTTGAAAGACTGTTCCTGGATCTTGGAATGGGGTTCTTGCTTGGTAAGGCGTAGTGAGGTGGTTTGTGGAGCCCTGCTCATTCTGCAGTTCATGTGGTGAATTTTTCTGTTCAACTGCTGAGTGACTCGGAAATGAACTAAATTTCAATTCTGATTAGAACTGGATAAATATACATGAAAATCAAACTTACTACAATTTTTAAAACTGAATGCTGAGACCTAGCTTTTGTCTTTGGGAATCTTCAGTTATTTGACCATATCTGATTAGTTCTTATAATTTTACTTTTTTTTCCTTCTAGGTTTACGTTGCTTTTGGAAGATGAAATACTACTCTGTTTTCTAGATGTGCAAGGTAAGCTGTTACTTGGTTTGCAGTTCCTGTTCTCCTCAGGTAGCTTTTTTGCTTTGCTTCACAAAATATTTTGGAAAAACAGGATTCCATAGTTCTGAGAGCATTACAGTGTTTCATAGCTGTGCAACTTCTGTGTGAAGCTTCCAAGGTCTTGAGTTCAGTGCAACATCTCTTTTATCGATCTGACCACAGTTAGAGCCTGTAGCCTCTGCTTGAATGAAAACTAAAACTTTGGGTTCTTGAATACCTGTATATTAAATGCAGTTTTTGTAAGAAGTTATATATGTAGAAATACTTTGGTTTCACCTGATGTTGAATGCTGCAGGGCAACTTAATCTGTCTGGTTGGTTTGGACCCTAGCCGGGATCTCCGCTGAAGATACTGGAGAACTGCTGTAGCCCCAGTCTCCTGGTGGTGCCCCACCCACGCTTTCTGTACTGGGGTGTGTCATACAGCTGCAGGTTCTGGTCGCTTCCCTGTGGTAAAACCTCAGCTTGATGCCTGTCCCGTGGAAGAACCAGGGGACAGCAGGGAGAGGTGGGGAGTCCTGCACATATGTACAGCCAGAGCTGTGAAACCTCTTAGTGTAGGGTGTTACCGACTTTGTGTGGCTTCAGGACAGTCTAGGGAACAGCACGTAAGACAATGTCGTGTAAGATTACTGGACAGGAAAACATGTTTAACGTGGGAAGTCCTGAGCTAAAGCTGGGCAAGTAATGAAACCTTACAAGAACATACTTAAGTAAGAGGATAGGAACAGGGCTGTAGCAGGGGTACGATAAAGTACCAGTTTGACACAGCATATCTGATACTGGCTTTATTGCCACAGCTACCTTAGTCCAAACCATGCCTGTCTCTAAAAACGGAAGACACAGTAGTGGAAGGTGACAGTTCCTAATGGTAAGTATATGGTAAATTGAGAAATGGCTTCAAATGCTGATTCAAAAAAAGTGGAAGAATGAAAACTGATGCATTCAATCTGTTCCAGCACGTGTTCAGTTTTTGTCCGTTGCTGTAGACAAAAACCTGGAACCTAGTGCTTAGAAAAAACCCTTCTTTTGCAACCCACAGCTGATGAACATATTAGTTGTGTTACTTACATGAAGGGACAATATCTGCATGTATTCAAATAGCAATTCCTTCAAATACTGGTGAGTCCAGGCCATGAGTTTTGTGTTCCAGACTTGCAGAAGTGCCGTTCAGTTATACCGATTTCTTTCCAGACTTTGCAGAGGAAGGCACAGGATCTGCAGCCGTGAGCAGCTGTGTAACTTTTTCGGACTGCTTGAGTTTTTATGGCTGTTTGCTGGTGTACACATCTACTGCATCAGTGGACTTACGTGGAGCAGGTTAGTGAAAGAGGTAAGCTTTGTGTGCCTCTGGAAATAGTACTTTAATTGGACTAACTTGTGCACTGTATGGTATCTGCACCCAGCAGTATCTTCCTGATGGGCTGCTCAAAAAGCAGTGCTACAGTACATCAGCAGCTGGCATCGTTGGTTTTCATGCAGATGTGCTGGTTAAACTTGGTATTTCTGTTGAAACAAGTAGACTGAAAGCTTCTTACTGGGAAGCTTGTCAAATACAACAGTGAAGAACTGCTGAACTGTTTCTGTGATAAAAGTATAGTTAAGTCGATGACCTTGTTGCAAAATATTTCTTTAAGGGGCGTGTCTGTGATGTCTGGAACACAGTGGAAAGCCTCTGCTTAAGGGTGAGTATTGAGGAAATAGTTTTTCCTAGGTGGAGGCAGTTGGATGAGGATCATAAAAGCTCAAGGCTTAGCTTTTTGGTTGCCTTTGTAAAAAGAAGTGACATTTTATTCTGAAACACAAATCCAAGTGCCAGAAGGCAGCTAGTGACATGATTTTTTTTTTTTGAAGTTAACTGGCTAGGCTTCAAAACCAAAAGCTATTCCACAGACAATGTGAAGAGTGAATTGTTATGCCTCGTTATTCAGCAAATAGACACAACTCACTGTGTGTCTGAATTGAAAAACGTGGCTAGAAGAGTAACAGGTTGTGCTTTCCTCACTGTGAAGTTAGTTGCAGTGGTGACAATGAGACCTGTAACAGGTTAACTTAGTGGGACACTTAGGCAGACGTAGTTCCTGATGCAGCTACTGTAAAATCCCAGGGATTAGCTTGTTTTGATGTTTCTGAATTCTTCATCCTGCCTAGTAAAGGAAGTAGAATTAGCAGGCAGAGGAAATACTAGCAGTGCTGCACTCTTGGTGATGGTTTATTAGAGCGTATTTGTAAGCTATCTTAAAATGTATGTCATCATTGTTTTCTTTACATCGCAGTACCAGCTGACTGTTAGGTAGCTCCCTTAGTTGCACCTTCTGTGCCATAGCGTTCCAGTTTCTTAAATTGCAGATGGGTTGTGTTGATAGTTGTGTGATGGACTGGGCCATGGTTCTGATCTCAAAAGAAATGCTTTGGCTTGGCATTAGCATTCAGACGGTGTAACTGGAGTACAGTATGCCTGCTTCATGTCGAGTCTAAAGCACCCAAGTCTTAATAAATTACTAAAATACTGAACAAACTTAGAGCTGTTACTCAGCTGCAACAATTTCCTTCTTTTTAGGAAGTCCACGTGACAGTCCAGTCTGAACTAGCATCTTGGTAAGTTAGTGCGATGGGTTGTTTTTAACCCCTGCTTGTTACAGGTTACCTGTCTTTAACTTGGTGAGCTGCTTATATTGCTGGTTTTTTCTTACTGAGAAGATGGCAGTGTTGCTTTAGAAAACCTAAGAGCTTGTCTTCCCCCAAACTTGAGAATGCTGTGAAAATTGTTGTGATGATTGGCAAAATGTTCAACTGCTCTGAAGAGAGTGAGTGAGAACAGCCTTTCTGAACAAATCTACTACACGAGTGTCCTTTTCATGTCACTTTATTCGGGGCATCTGGGTATCTGACATGCAGTGTCCTGCGTCAGTGAGCGAAGATGACAACTGTGTGACTTTGTTAAAAATAAACAGGAAATTAAGAAGAGCTATCAAATGAAGTAGGGTAGTACTTGGACATTATAGAAGCTTTAAGTGTGATTCCAAATAAAATCACGGAATGATCTGGGTTGGAAGGGACCTTATGGATCACCTTGTTCCAACCCCCTGCCATGGGCAGGGA